AGTGGGCATTGTTGTTGAGGAATGCGTGGCCTAAGGTTTCTATGGTTTGTAAGATTTTCAAAGACCAAGGTGTGATTCTGACCGCACTTTAGGTCTATCTGCATTATTCTCAATGGCAGAGACTTCTATAACTACACTTGTGGCCATGGAAGGTTTGCTTTCTTTGTTTGATGATTGATGATTCTTGTAATTAGTGAATAGCAATTGAAATTTGAATTTTAGTATGGAAATATCCAAAATTTTGGAAAGATAAAATATATGAAGTTGAAGAACGTTCACATTTAATGATTGTTAACGTTTCAGTAACTTTTGTCCTGGAAAGTTTGTGGTTGTTGTGTAATGGCATTTGCTGACTTAAATATTGGGTTAAGTTTAGCAAAGATTAATCTGATCTGCTTTTTCAATTCTTGACTGTGAATTTCATGCAGCATTATTAATGTTGTCTTGTTTGGTTTAGATGATGCTGGTTTCTACTGTGTTTGTATGGTTCATATTAACTTATAGAAGAAGAGAATTTTTTTTTTTTTTGAATATTTTTGAATATCACCAAGCCGTCAAGAAACTTTGATCTCATTGGTGATTCGATGCTAAATTTTGTCAGGTTTGTGAGCTGAATCGTTGGTTAGTGTTCTTTCCCTGTTATCCACAAGCTGCTGCATCTTTATAATGTTAAAGATACTGCTTTATTTCATTATTTTTTGCACTTTTAAGATTTCTGACCTAGTTCCCTCTATTTGTCTCAGAGCCATTCTATGGTACAATTTGCTTACACAATAGGGAGAGAAGAGAAAAATTGTCAGAAGATTACTATTTTAGCATTCTACCAACTGAAATGCAGGATGTAAGCCTTAAAACTAATTTAGCATTAAATTCTTTGGTGCTTTGGTTTTTCATATTGATGACTTAAAAATCCACTCTTTCTCATTTACCTTGGCAGACTAATAAAGTATCTTCAGAACCTCGTGGACTTTTCTATTTAGATGCTCCGTCAGCATCTGTGTGTCTACTAATCCAATTAGAGAAGCCTGCACAGAAGAAGGGGGAGTGACTCCTTCTGTTGGTTAAATGCTAAATTTGGTCCCTCAACTTTAGTGAGTTGCACATTTTTGGTCCCTCAACAATTTTTTGCACTTTTTTGATCCCTCAACTATATAAAATGCATTCCGTTAATCCTTCTGTCAATTTGGGCCGTTAACTCGGTCACATGGCATTTTTTATATTTTTTTTGATGACATGGCGAAAACAACTTAAAAAGATGCTTATCTGGACTTTCTTTTTTTATGACATGTCATCTTCTTCATCTTCATCCTCCAATAGATTTCAGTCACCTGCAAACTGATTTCTCGTCTTCATCCTTTGCAAAATCAATCTTAACCCATTTCTTCTTATTCTCTGAATGCTCTCTCATCTCCACTCCATCTGCAAAATCGATCTTAACCCATTTCTTTTTCTTCCGTGAATACTCTCTCATCTTCACTCCATCTACAGAACCGATCTTAACCCACCCATTTCTTCTTCTTCTCTTTTCTCGGGAAAACTTGAGCTATTGAGCTGCTGGGTTTCATTGAAACCTCAAACCCGACAAATCTTACCAAATCAAAATAACCCTTCAATAAACAATACCAATCAAACTCAAATCAAATTTCAACAAAAATACAATTAAACTTTAATCAAATTCCAATAAAAATGCAATCAAATTATAAATCAATCTCCAAATATATTAACAACTGCAAATGGAAATAGAAAGAAGAACGAAAAAACAAGAACCAAGCTTTCCCAGCAAAGCTGGGTTCGGTTGAAACCCAGCAAAGCTGGGTTCGTCCGAACCCAGCAGATCGAATCCAGCAAGGCTGGGTTTCCACCGAACCCGAAAGAAAGAAAGAGAGAAAAAGAAGGGGAAGAAGAGGGACTGGGAGGGTGAGGGTGAGGACGAGGGTAATAAAGTAATTTTATATGTTTTTAATTAAAATATGTATATTAACTTATGTGACATTTTTATTTATTTATATAACATAATTATAATATATATTAGTGCCACATCATCAAAAAAATTAAAAAACAATGCCACATAAAATTATTTAACTGTCACGTCATACTTAACTGACGGAAGGACCAAAAC